CTATCTAGAGATCTTTTTGCTTCTACATGCAGCTTAATGAAAACCTTTTAAAGAATCAGGAGATTTGGAAAGCAAAGATACTTGAAGCTGAAGAGAGGTATTGGTTTCTCCCTCTCTTTCTTGTTTTCTGAATTTTATTTTCTACATCATCCTAAGTTCATTGACTTGATGTGATAGTAAGTAATTTGACTTTTGATTTGTTTTTACGTTAACCTAAGTGGGCACAGATCATCAACTTCAAGCTAATTTTTTCTCTTTGGATTTTATGCCTTATTGTCATCGATAAGGAACAGAAAACTTTCGCATGGTTGGATGTCCTACTGATTTGACTTATACCACCAAGGTTTAAGATTATGGCAATATCAAAATGGAGATGTGGTGAATATTTGAGATGTATGCACTATTAGATGTCTGATCACTTAGGCTTTCTTGTTGCAGTGTACAATTTTTTTTTGGCACTTGTTAAGAGCTTATATAGATTGTAATCCCTTGACCCACTCTTTAAGATTATGCAATTTTTTCCCTTGAAAAGTTGCTCTTTTTGTATCATACTAAAGTAGTCTATGCAACAGTTTTTTTTAAAAAAAAAATTTTATCATAAAAAAAAAAAGTTGATTTATTTATCATTTCCTCACTAAAATGAAATTACCATTTTCTCCTTGATTTGTTTTGTTTTGTTTTTAACGTTTATGAGAATCTTGTTGAACCATTTTGTAGATGTTGCAATATAGTGTAAATTTATTTGGTTGTTTTTCTGCTATTATTGCCTAACTGGTCCTAATTCTTGTACTTTTCAGGGAGAAAAAGACTTTGAAACTGAAGGATGATAAAATTAGCGACTTAGAAGAGCAGGTGATATAAGATTGTCATTTTTCCTTTCCTTTGAGAGAGAGAGGGAAAGAAATTTCATACTAGACAATTTTTAAAGCCCGATACCTTCGTATCTGGCTGGCCTTAATATTTAAGCATCCATGTAAACTAAGGACTTCCTTTGTTAATTTTACACCTTTTTACAGCTTAGGGATTTGATGCTCTATCTTGAGACTGGGAAGACAGTGGAGCAGCCATCGATATCAAATGAAATAAAGGATGGCACTGCCTTGCCAGCATCAATAGAGTTGTCGCAGCCATCAAGTAGCAAATGATATTAAGGACTCCACTCTTCCAGAAGTTTTCAATGAATGTATGGAAGCGGGCTCAAAGACTAATAACAGGTGGAGGAGAAGCTAAGTTGAAGGATGGATGGTTCCCCTCTTGTACTGCTCCTTGAGCTGGTTCTGTTTCATCTCGGGTGCCTGTTTGGTTCTTTTTTTTTTTGGTGGTTGCCAAGTTGTGTATGGTAAGGGGGTTATGAGTTGCAAAATTATGGTAATGCTTGATGGTTGTTGGGAATTTATGCATTCAAACCCCCCTAGGTGATGATGGATGGTAAAGGGGTGGATACTTGTAAAGATGCTCAAGGTTATGTAAAAAATTTGTGTATATTCATATATCATCCAGGGTGCACTCCAAACCTAGCAGCTGCACATCCCAAAAGAATTTTGCATTGCTAAAGTGTAAAAAGCTCTTGAGCAAAACATTTTAAATGGGCAATGATTTCTCCACTCCTATTTTATCCACTTACACTCTTTTTTTAGTTATAAAAAAGGAGTGTAAGTGGATAAAATAGGAGAAAAAGGAGTGGGGAAATCACCATTCTTTTAAATACCTAAACTACTTGTTCCTTATTTTTCTTTCTTAGGCCACCTCCACCGCAGGCACTTTTGCTAGGGCAGGAGGCCCCTTTGCTGGGGTTTGGACCTCCACAGCAGGAGAAGCAGCCCGGGCAAGCCCAAGGGCACATCTTGCCTGGGCTTCAGCCCGAAGGTGCAGACGTCAGCAAGCACAAAAAAAAAGAAGAAAAAAAGTCAATTTTAAAAAAAAAAAAACCAAAAAATTATGGATGTTTTCCCTATAAATACATAACAATTTTATTCACTTTTCACACCAAATCCTCATACAAACTCTTCTCCTTCCAATATTTGTAAATTGTAATTTTTTTTTCTTGCATTTGTAAATTGTTTATATTTTTTTCCATATATATTTTTTTCTTGCATAATCATTTTATTTCTTGCATTTCTAAATTGATTATATTTTGTTGCATATTCTTTTTTTTTTCTTGCCTTTGACCTAGCCTTTTGGGGTGGAACAAAAAAAGGCAAGGCTGCCACTATTCACGTGAATAGTAGTAGCCTTGCCCTTGCCTTTGCCTTAGAGCATTTCCAGCAATGCAGGCTGGGCTTGGGCTAGGGGGGTTTTGGGTCTTGTAGGCGTTTCCAGCAACAAAATGGATTATATTTTGTTGCATATTCTTTTTTTTTTCTTGCCTTTGACCTAGCCTTTTGGGGTGGAACAAAAAAAGGCAAGGCTGCCACTATTCACGTGAATAGTAGTAGCCTTGCCCTTGCCTTTGCCTTAGAGCATTTCCAGCAATGCAGGCTGGGCTTGGGCTAGGGGGGTTTTGGGTCTTGTAGGCGTTTCCAGCAACAAAATGGAGCCCAGGCAAGAGGTGGGGGCCAGTAGCCTGGGCTGGCCCGAGGTGGGGTTCGGCCCGAGTGCTTGCTTGCGAGCTGAGCTAACGTGGCTGGCTCTGGGCTCTTCGATCTCCTTTTTTCCAGCAATCCAACGGCAGTCAATTTTTTCCCAATAAAAAAAGGAAAACAAATCGAAAAAAATGTAAAAAAAATACCCAAATTGTTTTCTATAAATACCAATCAATACTCTTCACTTTTAACACCAACAACCAATATTTTTGTAATAAAAAATTTAAAAAAAAACCAAAAAATTACTTCTTTTTTTTTTTTTTTTTTTTTTTTTTTTTTTTTTT